CATGTCAGACAAGGAAGAAGAGGAGATAGTAGTATAAGAGTGGGTTGTGATGTGTATCAGTTATAGGTTGATAAACAGAAAATATGTATTTGGGGTGAGAGTCATTGAAAAAATTACACTTACGTTAGTTTTCTTATTTCGAATGTCAATTTCATACTCAAAACATTGATCTATATCTCTTTCTTCATGGCTTAACTGGGGCCGTTTCCATTGCACGATACACCGTGGCTGGTCTTCAGAACAGTTTACGGTGATATTGACTGGAGGAGTTAACTTTTCTAGAAGAAAATCATCAGTATTAAATTTGATAAAAAATCAGCTTTTGATAAAGAATCTGCTTCCATTTGGAATTCAACCTTTGCAACTGTAACAGTTAGAAACAGCTTGAACAAATGGAAGAAAAAAAGCTTTGTTCTGGAGCATAGCTCTGAAACAAATACAGGCCCTTCTCCCAGTGAAAATGGTCCATGCCACTTGTAGTATAAATAAGAATTAAACAGAATAACATTTTTTCCTTACCAATTTCATAGAGTTTGATGAACTCATCATAAAACTGAATCTCCAATTCATTGCTGTCCCCCTTCACCAGGAAGTAAACTGGATCCTTAATTATTGTCACATTTTGGAAACTGCATGAGATATGTCTTCCAAGCGCATCTTTTATGTAATGTGGACACTTTAGTGCATCTTTTTCACTGTAAATACCAAAATGTTTCAGTTAAACATAAAAAATGGCATCTGTCAAATTTGAATACAAAACTTCCTTCAGACAGTAAAAATTATTTACCTTGGGTACTGCAATGAAAGACAATATTGGGTATTGATTGGAGCTTTTCTGCCAGCATCCCAAGTGCAATTCATGAAGGAAATATTGTAAATCACACAGGAGAAATTTTCAACACGTGTTCCATTCTTGCCTAGAAACCAAGAAAAATTACATGTGTATTTATATATTGCTGGTTGGTTTTGCAAGATGAAGAATAAAGTGAGTTATGGTTTCAAGCAGGTACAAGTTTTCACATAGTAGGTCAGATGCAGAGAGATTCTGAGCATGTGCAACTTCTATTGATTTTAGGTAACTAAAGATTTAGGTGCCTAATTTTAGGCACTAAAGTTTGAAAACTTTTGGATTACATTTAAACAGTGATTATTCTTAGTTGTCATAATCACTACCGATAAGACTAGGGAACTTAGTTTGTATTGGGCAGCCACAACAAGGCTCATATTAGCCATAAATTGCTTAAGTGGGGACACCTAGTGTGCGTCTATACTGCAGCTGTAGCTCAAAATAAGCCACTCAGTTAGAGCTACACAAATTGCTTAGCTTATTTCGAGTCAATTTCAAAATAGATTATTTTGTAATTTGGCAATCTCTACACAGCTCCAAATTTCAGAATAACCTGCTATTCCAAAACATCCCTTGCTCTTTGTGGAATGAGGTTTACAGAGACGTCGGAATAGTGAGGCTGTTATATTTTGAAATAACGGGCTTGCTGTTAAGATGTGGGATAGCTATTCCAGGGTACCTTGGGTATTCCAAAATAGTGCTGCAGTGTAGACGTAGATGCAATGTGCTAAGAGTTTTATTTTTCTATGCACCATTTTAATCCTCAGATTTTCTAAGAGGCTCAAGGAAGTAAAACAACTATATCACACACAGATGTTTCCATCATGCAAAAGTAGAAATTAGTTCTGCCACAATGTCACTTGCACAGTTGGGACAACCACTGGTTACAAATGGCATAATTGCAGTGAATTTGCAAAAGCATTTGCAATAGAGGAAATGAAATAATTAATGGCTTCTAGAATAAAATATATTCTGAGGGGATTCTTTTTCTCCAAATATTGTAGATAGACCAAACCTTTCACAAACACTAGTGCATTACCTGGGGGAATGAATCTGATTTCTTCTGAATATTCAGTGCCATTGTATGTTCCTTTAACTCCCAATTTTGCCCCCATATGTATAGGTCTGCTAAATATACAGGTTTTATTCGATGCCTGAAAAATAACATGCATTTGTATTAAGCCTTTGTTTTTCTTTCCCAAGAAAGTGGCTTTCCCATCAGCGTTACAGATGCACAGACACTGGGCTACTATATATATGACGAAAAAATCTCTAACCCCAAGAAAACAGTGCTATGATTCTCTAGGAGATCCATACTTTTGAAAAATGGAAACCAGAGACTGAGGAAGGTGAAATGTTGATAGTGCATTTTGGTAGGTGGGAAAGGCAGCTCTCATATGAATGTAAAAGGAAAGCAAGCCTGACTCTGAGGCTGTGTCTATATTGGCCCCTATTCCATAATAGGGATGCAAATGTAGCACTTTGGAATAGGCAAATCTGCAGGGGATTTAAATATCCCCCGCGGCATTTGCATTAACATGGCTGCCGCTTTTTTCCAGCTTGTAGATAAACCGGAGAAAAGCGCCAGTCTGGACACGATCCTCCGGAAAATAAGCTCTTTTCCGGAGGTTCTCTTATTCCAACTTTCAAGTAATAAGACTTTCAAGTAGGAATAAGAGATCCTCCGGAAAACAGCTTATTTTCCGGAGGATCGTGTCCAGACTGGCGCTTTTCTCCGGCTTATCTATGATTGCCAAGTCAGCACTTTGAATATATGGCAACAGTGCCACAAGGATCAGTGCTGGAATTTGTAATGTGTGTCTGTATGGTACAGTCAGGGTGTTCGGTACAGATGGCAGAGATCGCTGGTATGTCAGCAGTACTGAGTATATGAGCGGTGCCGATGATCTGAGTGGTGCCAATGGTGCCGACAGTACCGATGAATGAGAAGGGACCATCAGGTGCAGTGGAACTAGTTGGTGCCATAGAGTCCAGTACCGATAAGGGTGTTTGTGCTGTAGTCGTTGGTACTGATGAAGTCATCAATATGGGTGGTGCCTGAGCTGGAACCGATGTGGATGACGGTACCGAGTTTTGTGTCGGTACAGTCTTAGGGCGATGGCTAAGACCTTTGCGTCAGTGCCGGCAGTGTGCGACAGTGCCTGGACACCTGAGATGCCCGGCACATCTTAAGTGCTGATGTGAGGCCTCCTCTTTTTGGGTGCCTTCTTGCACTGAGGTAAGCTTGGGAGTGAATGTACCTCCCTAGGTTGTGTTCCTGGGTCTGAATCTAGGTGTGTCTTCTTCTCCATAAGGATGAGTTTGAGGTGAAGATTCCTGTCCCTACAAGTTCTGGCCTTAAGTAAGGCACAGTGGGGACAATGTTGAATGGAGTGGTGCTCTCTAGACATCTGATACATTCTCAATGTCCGTCCGAGATAGGCATTGCGTCTCTACAGGAGGTGCAGTGTGTGAAACCCGGAGAGCCGGGCATGATGAAAAACTTCTTTTTTTTTGGTAACTATTACTGTCAAAACTGTTAACAACCTAACTAACTAAAACTTGCTAATGAAAACAAGGTGTGAACAAGGAATGAACAAGGCAGAGAATTGCAGAGGTCCATCTCAGGCTGAGGGCGGTTGAGAAGGAACTGGAGGGTGTGGGCTGCAAATGCGTGGTGCTGACTAGCACGGCATGCAACTTGATACTGAGTATGTGTGGCCCGACCGGGACTGCTGCAAAATCTCCAATCCAGGCACCGGGATGGCACTATGACCAAGCGTAGAGCATCCTTGGGGAACTCTTCAAGAACTTTCCTTCCTCTTTGAAAGCTCTCACTGAAAACACATTCACACCTATAGAGTGGTAGAAACGGTTATGAGGTACTTTTAAAATTACTATTGAAATCTGATATGTTCTTATACAGCCACCTTCCCTTAAGTCCCAAAACTCCTCTGTGAGGCCCTGAAAGATCCCAGCCCTGAAGCAGGGCAGGAGAGATCAAGACTTTGAAAGGAACCATGCTCCATTAGGATCTATCCACTCTTGACCAAAGAAAATGTGGCAATTTGTGTGGATTGTAGTCTGAAGGGGCTCTTCAGGAAAGGGTTGGGTGACAGTGTAGGGCTTCTGCTTGGATGCCCCTTCCCTTCAATGGATTCTCAGGGAGCTGTCTGTATCTGCAAATGTGACCAAATCTCCAGTGGCGTCTATGTGAGGGCAAAGCGAACTAGAAACCATAAAGGAGGAAATTTTACCAATGCATGTTTCCAAAGTTTCTGCTTGCCTGCATGGCTATTCCTGCACAGGGTATGGACCAGCTAAAGAAATGGTCTGAGGTAAATAGGATAAAATAAGGGCAAATGCAAAGTACCTGACACAGGAAGGAACATTCAGTTTCACACATACAAAATGGGAAGTGATTGTCTAGGAAGGAGTACTGCAGAAAGGAATCTAGGGTCATAGTGGATCACAAGCTCAATATGAGTCAACAATGTGACATGCCGCAAACCTCTGCCCAATCATTTTGGGATGTATTAGCAGTAGAGTTGTAAGTAAGACACCAGAAGTAATTCTTTCACTTTACTCTGCACTGATTAGGCCTCAATTGGAGTATTGTGTCCAGTTCTGGGTGCCACAGTTCAGGAAAGATGTGGACAGATAGGAGAAATCCAGAGTAACAAAAATGATTAAACATCTAGAAAACATGACCTATGAGGAAAGAATTAAATAATTTGGTTTTTTTGGTCTGGAAAAGAGAGGGATATGATGATAGATTCAGATACGTAAAAGGAGGAGAAAAAATATTCTCCTTAACTTCTAAGGATAGGACAAGAAGCAATGGGCTTAAACTGTAGCAGGGAAAGTTTAGGTTGGACATTAGAAAAAACTTCCTAAACTGTCAGTGTGACTAAGCACTGGAATAAAATTGCCTAGGAAGGTTGTAGAACCTTCATCCTTGGATATTTTTAAGAGCAGGTTAGACTCGAACCTCTAGAAGATTCTCACAGCTGTATAATTCTATGATTCTAAGTGATAAATATATATATTTGTCAATAGAGCAGGTATATAAAAGGAAAAGTACAGTTAATTATTTCTGTTAACAAGTAAATAGAAAACTTACCTCTTTCTCTATATAATCCTGGCTTGTTTCCATATAACAGTTGTAGTCAATATCAGTGATGCTGCTGTCCCAGGTCAGCTGTAGCTTTGTGTGACTGAATGTCAAGTTGGCAATGGGTGAGGATGATGGCATCACTGAAAGTTTTATGAATTAATATCAGAAAGGATGCAATATGATTTTTCCATGTTTTCAGGTGCAGAGGCTGGTATTTAGCAGGCCTACATGACAATACCTAGAGTGAGGTGAATTAAACCCAGTCCCAGATTATCTCAGTTATAAAGTATTATACATACTCTTTGTATTCACATAGTCAGCACACCATATCAGAAAGAACAGGACTCTCCAAATCATGGAAACAAGTCGGAAGGTGGCAGTCATCCTTTATTTTTCTTGGAAATAGGAATAAAACCTGTAAGAGAAAGAGACTGATACCAAAGCAGACTTAGGTTTCTGTTAAGCTGAATTTCTTTGAAGGACAGAATCAGAGACTTTCTCATTAGTCCCTAGAATCAGCTAAATACGGTAAATCACACATATGCACCAGCAAGAAGGTCCAGTGTTTAGGGCATTATGCTGACACTTGAAAGACTGGAGTGCAAGCTTCTGCTTTGTCACAGACTCACTGTGACTTTGGGCTGGATTTTTAGGCCCAAAGGGTCACAGCCATTGTTGTGTCCTGCCACTCGGTAGAATCCACACACCCAGGGCTAGACAACTAGGCTCTCTGTATAACGCATCAGAGAGCTAGCTGTGTAACAAAGGGGCCTATGAAAGAATGTATGACAGGAACTGAGCTGTCAAAGCAAGCCAATAGCAGATATGGGGAGGGATGTGTCCTGATCCTCATCCCTTTCCAGGAGTTAGATTTCAAAATTGAGGCTGGAGGGAGACACCTACCTTTGCCTGGGCTATGCAGCCACGTAACCTTCTCCTGGACGCAGGAACCAAGCCTTTCTTGCGGGAGTGGCAGGAGTTCCCTCCTATTTCTGTACAAAACAGAGGCAGTGGTAGCTCTATAACCTTTAGTCCTGTGCTTCAGACACACCAACTCATTTACAGGTACTCTGCTTGTGGCACATTTCATTTTTTTTAATCTATTTGCTATTTAAAATTCAAGTTAGAATCTTTTTTTTTACCTGTCAGAATTTGTTTCTACCAAAATCCATTTGGATGGATTTTCTGAAGGACATTTATGTGGACAAATACAATCTTGTGTTTTGTCATATTTTTGTTCTTATCTATCCACTTCCTCTTTTTTAGGACCATTCCAAACTTTCTTTGTTTTTGTTAAATAAAAAAACCTCCTTACTAGGTCTAGGTAACTTGATATTAGGAAGTTTTTGACTAGCTTCATTTTCTTTATTTTAATTTAAAAAAACCCTTTCTATGGTGCTATGTTATTAGTATGGCTCCTTCACCCATAGATGGTAAAATTAATTATATGGTTATTCATTGCTATTTCTCATTGACTCCACTAATGTACCTCCAACATTACAAATCCCCTTTTTCAGTTCTTTAGCACTTTCTCTTTCAAAATACTCTAGAGCCAAAACTTTTTATGCTTGGGCTTTTACCATATGTGATTGTTACATGCACAGGAAAAAATACATTTCCCCTAAATGTACCAATCAAGAACTTTACACACTTAAATCACTAGAATTCCTGAACAACTGTCCAAACATTGGCTATGTTTCAGTTCTAATCACACTAAGTATTCACACATGGCAAATACATGTATTATTGCATTTAACTTTCTTGGACCACTTCGTAGGATGAGTGGGGAGGTGATCTCTCCTCAGGAGCTTCAAGAGTATCAGCTCCTCACCAGTCTCAGGATGTCTACTGAGAGAGAGACCATCCCCATAGAGGTCTCTTGCCTCCACCATTCTGCCCTGCCCCCATCTCCAGCTTTCTGATGCTTTTTGGCAGCACTTCTCTTGATGGGCTTACCCGCTGCCTTCAGACCCTCCTTAAAAGGAACTTCAAATAAGGAAGTGAAAGTAGGAAGGTGGCTGCAGATGTGGTGAGACGTAATCTATGCATCTTCGTCACACGATCTCCCCCAGATAACTGTTTTACCCCAAATCCCTAATCCCGCCAAGCTTTCCATCTGCTTTGTGTGTCACCCACACAAAGTAGGGTGTGGTAAGGTGACACCAATTTAGGCGGTTCCCTGAGCGGTAGTTCCTGTGCCAATGCTGTAAGGGATAGCTCCAAGGCAGAAGGCAGGAGCAACATGACAGTAGGTAGAGGGGCAACTGAAGTACCAGCACTTGAAAGGTTTCTGGACAAACCAGTCAGGATCACCTGTCAGAGGCTCCAAGATCTCCTGGTAAATCCCAATGTACTGATTGGTGGCCACTGGGTTAAAACATGTCTTCTGGAATAGAGCAGGAGATCTGAGGTGTTTGTGTTACCTTGATGTCTGGGGCTGTATGAATGCACCATGAAGAACTGGCTGGAATCGACACATTTTAATGGAGGATCCAAAAAGACAATAGGAATCCCAATGTCCAGGCAGCCCGACAGAATTGCCAGGCCCCAGGGCAAGATATGAGGGTTGGCTCTGTGTTTCCAGAAGGGGCAGGACCACTGGCAGAAGAGACAGGGCTGCTGTCACAGGCACCCTGGCCTGTAATCCATTAACACATTCCATTTTGAAACCACTGAGGTATCTTGTCTCCGTTACTTGTATTGGGAGGCTGTTACAGAACATGGCTTGTGTGGCATACATCCTTTCTGTACTCTCCACTGAAATATACAATCAATTCATGCTTGAATACAATATTCCTAGGACTGATTCACTCTATAGAGTGATATGGAACTTGCCAACCACACACACAGGTAGAAGAGACAACTTACGAACATTTACAAGAAATTATATTTTAAAAGAAGAAAGAGACAGTAACATTTCTCCTGGATACACAAAGTAGCTGTCAGACAAAATAAAGCAACCCAACAGATGAGGGAAAATATTACTAATGTTTTTTCTGGCTCTGGCAGGTGGTGCTGGAAGTCAGATCACTCTCTGTACTCATATTGAGCTAAGTATACTTACCTTCAGATCATTAACCATAAATAATAAAGTGTCATCCAAATTTTGGAGAGGCCATCCCTCCAGGAGGGAGAAGAATATGTACTGGGAGATAGATGAACTCAGTCACATAGAGCTTTTCTTCCTGTTGAAAATGTTTGTGGTATGTCATAGGATCCCTGAAAACTAAAATTACAATACTCCCCCCCCAACAAACTAAAATGAAGCCAAAAACTAGCTTACCTCGTCCTTGCACAAGGCTTATGTTTCATTTAACTTAAGGCCCTGCTTCTGAGATGACAGGAATGCTTGAGTCTGAAGCTCTGGTAGTGCTGCAAGAATACGCTCTCATTATATAATATGTGGCTCCTGGAAAGTGTTGCAAGACATACAGTGAGCTAGTTCCTTAAGTCATTTCCTTCACAGTCACTGGAACATGTTTTATTTCCTTGTTTCACAGAACAGAAATCATTTCACACAAAAGAAACATTGAGGGCTTATCTACACTAGGAAATAAGCTCGAATGTACTGTGATCAAGTTCTGGACCCCAATATTTAGAAGGCAAGGGGCTGTGTCCCCACTACAGGAAAGATTAGATTCTCAGAGGTAGTGCATACACATTTATGGGGTCTGCCTCAAACTCAGAGTGAGGAAGTACTATGAGTGAGGAAGACTCACAGTGAGGAAGGCCTAGGCTTCTAGTGTCTGCTGGGTCCAAAAAGCATCAGCAGATACTTACGGGGACTCTTTCTGTCTGAGTCCCAGAAGGTGCTTCCCTACTCCCTCCCCCCTCACGTGACATAAATGGGCCACAGTGGACATGCTATTTTTCATGTCCTGGTTGCCTGTATGGCTGCCACAGCACTACAAACATGGAGCTCTAGGTGCTGCAGATTATTGCAATGCTCTTGGCTCTCATGGTGCAGGACTTGGAGAGTGCCCACATGTTGTCCACCAGGAACAGGATGAGGAGCAGGAGGATGAGGACCAGGAAGATGAGGAGAAGAAAACTCGGCGTGGACCACTGGCCCTGCTCAGGCAACTCATGGTAATCATGTTATTCTGAAGGCCGCTCAATCCCCTGGACACAGTGGAACACTGCTGCTGGCATCAGGAGATGAACCCAGACTGGTGGGACCATGTCACGATGCAGGGATGGGATGTCTACAGAAATTTCACACGTGCAAAGCCACATTCCTGGAGCTCTGCGAATGGCTCACCCCTGCCCTCAGGAGACAGAATACCCACATGAGATGCATTCTCACCGTGCAGAAGCATGGGGCCATTTCCCTATGGAATCTCCACAGTCAGGGCTGTGCTCATACAATTAGCCAACCATAGCCTGCTATGGAGGGTTGCGTCTCTGGGGAACCAGGACAACATCTTGGATGGCTTTGCTCTTATGGAACTCCCTAACTGCGGGGGTGCCATAGACCGAACACAAATCCTCATCATGGCCCTGAACACTGCCGCCGAGTACATCAACTGCAAGGGGTACTTCTCCATGGTGCTGCAGGCGCTCCTGGATCACAAGGGAAGCTTCACTGGCATCAGCGTGGATGGTTGAGAAGGGCGCATGATTCACTCATCTTTTGGAACTCTGCCTCTTCTGAAAGATGTGCACCAGCACTTTTCCCAGACTGACAATCAGAGTCTGAGAGGTGAACATGCCCATTGTGATCCTGGGTGCCCCAACCTACCCCTTGTTCCTTTGGCTCATGAAGACCTATATGGGCAGCCTGAACACCAGCAAGGAGAAATTCAATAACAGGCAGACCAGGTGCAGAATGATGGTGGAATGTGCATTTGGACATTTAAAGGGGAGGTGCAGGAGTTTCCTCACCTGCTTGGACCTGAGAAAATCACAGCATGGGGCAGTGTTAATCTGAGAGGCCATGAAGGGCAGTTTTATGGAAGGCCAGTGGTGAGACTCTTCCCTGTGAATCTCCACAAAGAGCTCCTGCATCCCCACCCTTTGTAATTCTTCCCCTTCCCTCCTCTGCTTTCCCCTCCCCTGCAGTTCAAGCAATAAAAAGATCAATTAACAGGAATGTTAATATTGGGAAAAAACAACAGGGAAGGGAATGGATTGGGAAGGGGGGAGCCGGGTTCAGGAATGGGATTGGGACTCCCACATGCCCTCGAGATGCCCAGGAGGCTCCAGCTGCCCTAGAGGTTGCCCCCATGTTGTGGGGTCCTGGCAACCTCTGGGAACCCTTGTGGTGGAAGGCACAGGGTACAGCAGGTTCTGGCCATTGGCTCACTCAAGGCAGATCACCACGCATTCCATCACCGAAGTGAGGGAGAACATGGTCTCCTGCTGACACATGAGCTGTTCCTGAGTGGCCTTTCTCGTCTCTTGGTCAGCCCTGCTCTCCTCTCACTTGGTAACAAAATTCTGCTGCTCTGTCTCGACTTCCTGTACCAGAGAGTGCAGGCAATCTATTTGCTCCCTCATGTGTCACTACTTGTGCGTTTCACCTTCACATCCCATACAGGTGGCAGATGCAGTGAGAGGTGTTAGATAGTCCAGCTTGCAGATGACCCAGCTGTCAAGAAAAGTTACAAGGGCAGGCATCACAAAAGATACTTTGTACGACAATGGCAATGTATTTCATGCAAGGCCAGGTCTTGGCTTTAAAATGGGCACCTTACAGCAGGTTCACAGATGTCCTCAGGGGAGCATTGGGACACACAGAATCCAGAGGCAAGTGTTCATGGTAAATGGACAGCCAGGTTATGCGATTGTGGGGAAAAGGAGGGTGGGGACAGAGAGTAGCTTCCCACTGTGTCCGGCACACATGATTTCTCAAGACAGTACAACTTTCCTGGCTAGGCCAGGAGCTTGCAGGTGGGAGGGGGAAAAGGGGCAGCTCAGTATCCGACTGTTTCTGGCACATGCTCGGTCTGGAACTCTCAGTCTCCTGGGAAAGCAAAAATGCAGGACAATGTAGCACTTTAAAGACTAACAAGATGGTTTATTAGATGATGAGCTTTTGTGGGCCAGACCCACTGGAGAGAGAACT